CAACTAACAGTCTGGAAACTCTCTTACTGACGTGTGTCTCACTGGGGATTCTAGATCCTCTCAAGTGACGGTTAACCACCATGGTCACAGTCAGAGGCACTGGGCTTTGGGACATGAATGTAAGGAGTTGAGGGGACACAACTACCAGGAAGCTCGTGTCCTTGGCCCCTGAGCTGACATCTTCCTGACTGTCACATTGAGGTCCTGGCTTCCTTCCTCCAGCTCCTACATTCTCCTCCCTACTTCCTAGAGTCTGCTAGTGTCTCATCAAGTTTTCAGAACTTCTATGACCCAGACAGGAAGTCAGCAGGCCGACTTGGTCTTTCTCAAACCCCAGACTCTCAGTTGCTCCTATAAACCAGGCTTAGCCCAGCTCCCCTCTCCCAGGTCTGTCTTCCTGCTGTGTTGTCCCCACCCTACCACCCCCACATTCTTGAGAAAGCATCTTCAAGGCTCTCAGCCCTCACCCCTTCCCTCCCGCGATCTTTGCAATCCTATATAGCCGGTCCTGACCCATGATGGCTTTACTTAGCATTCCAATTGCACAGGGGTGTGAAAGCAATGTTTATTCTGTAGAAATTGTACTTCAAGTTTCACTAAGATATGCAGCCCGGTTGCTGTAGCTTCCTATCAGTGAGAAATCACAAGGGGAAACACACAGCACTCTACAGTGAGCATCGCTGCTGAGCTGGAATGCCCCATGGGTTTGCTGCCATGATGGATTTTCCTCTTATGATATTTTCACTCTGCAATAGGTCTGATGGGTTGTGACCACACAGAAAGTCCACTCGCTTCAGCCAAGCAGCTTCCTGGTTCTCTATTCCCCTAAATCAAGAGCTGACTAGAGTCCTTGGCTGTACTTCTAAGCTACTCCATGCTTTCAAGGATGTGTAGACTTTGTGTCAGTCTGCTCAAGCTGAGAGCACACAGTTCCACAGACATAACAGCTTAAATATTACAAATTCATTGCCAGGATTCTGAAGGCTGAAGTCTATCAGGCTGCCAGTGTGGCCTGGTACTGGATAGGGAGTGGTTCCCAGCCTGCGGATTACAATCCCTTTAGGGGTCAAACAACCCTTTCACAGGGCTGCCTAAGACCATCTTCATATCAAATACTTACATTGTGATTCATAAAAGTAGCAAAATTACAGTTATGAAGTAGTAATGAAATGATTTTATGGTTGGGGGTCAGGACAACATGAGGAAACGTATTGTTGCCTCACGGTGTTAGTGAAGTTGAGAACCACTGTGGTAAAGGGTCTTGGTCTGGCTTATAAAAGGGTCTTTCTTACTGTGTCTCCAATATGGTAAAGGCTTATTGCTCGGGAAGAGCCAGTTAAACAGGGAAAAGGCAGATGAGAAAGTCAACTTCCTGTGTCTATGAAGCCATATCCACTGATTCACCCACCTATGGGTTGAAATGGTCAAGGAAAAAACAAAACAATACAAAAGTGTGCCTGGAGGCTCAGTGGTAAAGTCTTAGCCAAGCGTGCATGGGGTCCTTGTCCGTTTCCTCAAAACTGCTGTGTGTGTCTGTGTGTGTGCGCGCGCGCACGCTAAATGTGTACAGACATTCTTTTCTCTTGTCATATTCCCCTAAACTACACAGCATAAAAACTATTGACCTGCCAGTCACGGTGGCAATCCCACACCTGTGATCCCAACACTCAGGGAGGCAGAGGCAGGCAGATCTCTGTGAGTTTGAGGCCAGCCTGGTCTGCAAAGTGAGTCCAGGACAGCCAGGGCTGTTACACAGAGAAACCCTGTCTTGGGAAAAACAAAATAAAACAAAACTACTTACCCAGCATGGGTTATGGCCCAATATTTGGGCATATTTTTCTATGAGGGACTGGGGGGCTGTAATTCTGATGTCCATAGGGTCCTAGCATCCATTCCTACAGACAGAGAGACAACGGCACAATCTGAACCTATGTAATACGTGTGAATTTATAAGATGTGAGTGTGGTGCACACCCATGATCCCTGCTCTCTGGAGGTGGAGACCGGAAGATCAGAAGTTCAAGGTCATCCTTGGCTTCATAGTAAGTTCAAGTCCAGAGCTAAATTAGACCCTACCTCAAAAATAAAGGTTATGAGAGTGTATAGGTGTGTATACGGGGCATGCAGGAGTATATAGGGGTGCAGGCGTGTACAGGGTCTGCAGGTGTTTTTACACCCATGCTCGTGGAACCATTACAGGAAGGACTAGTCCAGGTGACTCATGCCTGTCACCCCAGTGCTTGGGAGACAGAGGCAGGAGGGTGACAAGTTCAGACCCACCTAGGCTCCAGGCTGTGTCTCATGAGCCGTCTGCAGCATCTTGGGAAACAATAGACGACCCGTGCCAGGAACAAACAAGAAAGTCAGACACGGATGTCCTCTGACATCTAACACACGGGGGAGGGGGTCATGAAGTCCCTCCTGCAGGCTGTGCTAAGTGCTGTGAGGGTGTTTAAAATGTGGTGAGGGTGGCTGGAGAGCAGGGCACACAGCGCCATTTCCTAGAAACTCCTGGGAAGACTTCCAACCCAATGGCATCTGAGCAAAATAGGGCAGTGGCAAAATTGGAGACATCCTTGGCTTTGGGGACTCTTGAGTCACAGTTTCTGTCACAGTTACATCGCGTTACCACTACAGTATACAAGAAACCATGACCAGGCCAGGCCTGATGGTGGAGGCCCACGACTCCTAACGACTCAGGAGGCTGAGGCAGGAGGATAACAAGTTCAGGGTCAGCCTGGGCTACACAGTGAGTGTAGAGCTAGTCTGGAAAGCTTAGCAAAATTCCCTCAAAACCAAAATTTCAGGAGGGGCTGGGGTTGTAGCTCAGTGTGGAATGCTGCTTAGCCTAGGCCTGGGTTCAGTCTTGGCTTCTCACAGAAGAGACAGGCCACAGGGTGAACAGTGAAAAACTCTCGCCACTGAAACCTGAGCTTCACATCACATTCATGAATCACAAAATACTGTTGCTGTTTGGGGTTTTACATTGACCAGTGTAAAAGTGAGAAAACATGCCTAGTTCATGGGCTCTACAGAAACACTTTGGCTGGGACCACAGGCTACAGAGCTGGGATCCCTGCTTCAGAACAGTCGATGAGCCATACCCACTCCCCAGTTATGGGGTGGGCATTGTCACCTATGTGGGGGCCCTCAGCCTCCTCTGGAGCCTGAGTGCTCAGGCCTTTCTCTCGGACTTCTACAACTCCCTTAGCAGAATGAATTCAGGAAGTCTTTGCAGTGTCTGTGAGTGCCCTGGCTCCTCTCATTCTTTAGGGAGCCTCCAGCTAGAGCAGGTGTCCCCCAACTCAGAAGCTTTCATCATCCTACAGCAGGACACAAAGCCAGGAAAAGACCAGTGTGGTCCCCACCTCAGACCACATGTGCCGTCTCCAGCCTCATGGTCCTGAGTGCACAGTGACCTTGGTTCCCCATTCCTGTGATACACTCGGCTCCTCATTCATCTCCTCCCAGACTATCTAATATCCTTGATGACTAATTAAAATGTTGGAACCAAAGTACAACAGCCCACAAGGCACCCAGTGTGCTGCCCAGGCTCTCTTATTGGCCAGTTCCTTGTTTCTCTACTGCCTGGCGGTGAGGGCTAGAGGTGCCCATCGGCCAGCCGCACCCTATAGCTCACCCACTCCTCACCACCCTCTGAACTTCTGCCCTCCCATCCCCATGGGAACACCATGTCCAGTGCCCCCTCTGGGATGCCTGCTGTCACAGCCTCCAGGACACCAATGGAAGCCTCCCAGAGAGACACTTGTTTGTTTGAGCAACACTTGTACTGGGGGAAGAAAGCAGGACTAGATGGCACTTCCCCTTTGGAGATCAAGGCCATCAGTGTCATCATGTAATTCATAGCTGTCCTCCTGCCTCAGTTCCTCCAAGCTTGAGAGCCATTGGCTTGACCTTTAATCTTCCCATCCTTATCCTCCTCCTCGATTGTGTGCTTCTACCTCACAGGCCAGGGGTTTTTGGTTTTGTTTCGTGAATGTATGTGTATGGAGGTCAGAGGTCACAGGTCACCTTGGGCATCATTCCTTAGGTGCTTCCACCTTGTTCTTCTGAGACAATGCCTCTCATTGGCCCTGAACTCACCAATTAGGCTAGACTGGTTGGCCATCCAGTCCCAGGGATCTGCCTGTCTCTACATCCCCAGCACTGGAATTACAAACCTACATCACTATGCCTGTTTTGTTTTGTTTTTGTTTTTGTTTTTGTTTTTTTCACGTGGATCCCAGAATCAGCAAACACTTTACCAACTGAGCCAGTGCCCCAGGCCCCCTGGACTTTTGACCATCACAGACTCACCTCTGCCCTGCCATGCCTTCCCCTCTTTTGTATTCTCACCCCACGTCCAGTGTATCCGTTTATTCTTTCTCTCCTGATTAGATGGCTGAGGACACTGTGATGTCACCAGTGTCTATTCACTGAGTGTGTTTGGCCATGAGTTATGAGTTAAGATGGAATATGACCATGAGCGCCTCTGAGGTAAAGCTTGCATGTGCATGAATTGCACAGCTCAGTCTCGTCTCCCTCCCTGGTTTCCATGACAGCGGCCGCCAAGCAAATGCCCAGGCTTCTACAACTGTAAGGACCATAACTGTTCAAAGGCCGTCAGTTTCCTCTCGGTCATTTATTCATTCAAACATCCACAGGGTCTCTACGTGGTATTCTAGATAGTAGAATTAATGGTTTATTCCAGATACTCTTGACTCTCTGACAGACATTGAAGAGATCACCTTTGATCTCCTGCCTCCTTGCCCCAGGATTGAATCTACATTTTTTGCACGCCATGGTCTTTTGTATAGGCAGCACTGTTGGTCTCTGGGAACTTTGTACCTGGCACCCAAGGGAAGTTTGGGTCCTTCTCTCTGTGAAGGCAGTGGGTGACCCAGAGAAAACTCTAGAAAAAGCAAAGCCTTCAAGTCTCAGATAAGATGTCATGGCCCCTCCATGCCCTAGCTCACATGTCACCTTCACTCTCTCTTACAGCCCCCTGCCTCGGGGAAACAGTCTCCTACCAAGAATGGCAGTCCTTCCAGGTGCCCCCGCTTCCTCAAGGTCAAGAACTGGGAGACAGACGTGGTCCTTACCGACACCCTTCACCTTAAGAGCACGTTGGTGAGTGTCAGGACTGGCTTACCTCACAAGAGGAGGGTACAAGGGCATCTGTGTTGGGGGAGGGGAAATCTATGCAAGGACAATTTGATTGTGATGAACATTACCTGCAGCCCACCCCCACGAGGGAGCAGAGCCCTCTCCCACACTGTGACAGCCGCAGGGTCACAGCTGGCGCTGCCTCACACCTCCCTGGATGCTCCACAGACAGGTCATGTGGTCATACGAAGGCTCTCAGTGTGAGCATCTTGCTCCCAGCAGATTTTAAGGACCCTCGCATATCCTTTGCCTCTTACAGTATGATCACGGGCGGGGCATCAAACCAACCCTTTTTTCGTTGTGCCCCTTGGCCTCTGTTCTATACTGGATTCTTAATATTGGATATTCCAACCTATTGCCTTCCTTGGGGGGGGAGTAAAATATGAACTTCTTCAAGGGGTGATGTATCTGTCAGCTAGTGCAAGGTAACAAGGAGGCCCCAAACTCAGTGGTGGAAAACAACTATTACATATTGCTTTTTTAAAAAGTCCACAGACTAGCCAGGTGGCTGTGCAGACCCAGCCAAAAATGTGGCTGATTTTGATACGGCCTAGCTCATACACGTGCAGTCACTCAAGGTGACAGCTCAGGCCAGGCTGCTCTAGAATGGCCCTGGCAGAGAAGACTGCTCTGTGTGGTCTCTCCTCTTCTAGCAAGCAAGCTTGGGTTTGTCCCTGGGAATGCAAAAGTGCATGATCTCTTTATTTTCTATTAGCATACAAAACTTCTTGAGACCTAGCCTTGCACATGGCCCAGGGTCACTCCTAGGACACTCTAGGGGTCCAAACCAACCTGGAGCCAAGAGCTGGGGATCAGGCTGCATCTCAGGAGAAGTGAAATCACATCACAAAGAATGAATGTGGACAGAGGAGAGGAGCTATGGCCACCTTGAACATCAATCTACCATAGGGTGTGTTCAGACATGTCATTAGAGAGGAGAGTGAAGCTCAACTAAAGTACTCACCTAACATATGCAAAGCCTTTGCTATGTTTAAGCCACACATACCCAGTACATAAGTGGTGTCATAGTTCATGGCTGTAATCTCTATACGAAGGAGGTAGAGGCAACAAGGTCACAAATTCAAGGTCACAAATTCAATTGGCCATATAGGGAGCTGAGGCCAGCCTGGGCTACATGAGACCCTCTCTCAGTTATAATGATGATGACAATGAAGATATGATGATGGTGATGGTGATGGTGATGGTGATGGTGGTGGTGGTGGTGGTGGTGGTGGTGGTGGTGGTGGTGGTGGTGGTGATGGTGATGGCAATGATGCCATTATTCTTTTTGATCAACACAGAATGGATTTTTTTTTTTCTGGAGCTGGGTGTGATGGTACATATCTGCAGTTTGGCAGAAAGTCAAGAACTCAAGGCCAACATCAGGCACATAGTGAGTTCAAGGCCAACCTGGACTGTATGAGACGATGTCTAAAAAGAAACGCTATCAAAAAATTGATAGATAGATAGATAGATAGATAGATAGATAGATAGATAGATAGTAGTGAGAGAGATGATCAATGATAAATAGACAGGGAAATAAGATAGATGAGTAGATAGATAGTAGCTACATAATAGACTTAATAGATGATGGATAGAAGATAGATAGATATATAGCTATATGATTGATAGATTATTAATAGATTGATAATAGATTATAGATAGGTGATAGGTAGATCATTAACATAGGATAACTAGATGATAGGCAATTGGGTAGACAGATAAATGATAAGTAGATAGATAGATAGATAGATAGATAGATAGATAGATAGATAGATAGATAGATAGATGATAGCTGACTGACAGAGGATATAGCTAGAGATGACAGAGACAGAAAGACACTAGGTTGTTGCCCGGTGGCTATGTGACCCAGTGAAAAAGCCCCTTCCCTAGCTGACTAGCACAAATACCTTGGGCACCATGGTTCTCAGTCATGACACCTGCCAACCCTGGTGGGAAGAAGTCAGACTCTCACCCACCCCCCTCTTGGCCCCTAGGAAACGGGGTGCACGGAGCACATCTGCATGGGCTCTATCATGCTGCCATCCCAGCACACGCGAAAGCCGGAAGATGTCCGCACAAAGGACCAGCTCTTCCCACTAGCCAAAGAATTTCTCGACCAATACTACTCATCCATTAAGAGGCGAGTACAAGAGGCCGGGCGGCTGGACCAGTAGGGAAAGTGCTCCCCATGCAAGTGCGAGGACCCGCATTTAGAGCCCCAGCACCCTTGTGACAGCACAGCTTGTTGGCAGATGTCTGCAAACTTCAGTGGTGGGGGAGTAAAGACAGGGGGGTCCCTGGAGCTCAGTGAACAGCCAGTCTTGGGAAATCGGTGAACTCCAGGTTCATCGGGAGACCCCGCCTCAACAAGAAAGATGCAGAGAGAGAGATTGAGGAAGGAAGGCACTCACTGTTCCCCACCTCTTAAAGGCTCCATCACCTGGCAGTAGCACAGTTTCGAACCTTTAACGCATGCTAAAAGACACACACATGCACACATACACCCACACACCTTCACACACACACGCACTCACAGATACACATACACACACATACACCCATCCAAAAAACATACATGCATATATACACACGTGTGCACACATAGATACACACATGCTCATATAGGTATATGCATGCACACTCAAACATGCATACACACGCGCACACACACACACACACACGGAACACTTCCAAGCCATCCCACTGCGGCTCCCCCTGCCATCCTCCCCTGCATTCCTCCACCCTTAGGTTTGGCTCCAAGGCCCACATGGACAGGCTGGAGGAGGTGAACAAGGAGATCGAAAGCACCAGCACCTACCAGCTCAAGGACACCGAGCTCATCTATGGCGCCAAGCATGCCTGGCGGAATGCCTCTCGGTGTGTGGGCAGGATCCAGTGGTCCAAGCTGCAGGTAGGTGGCGACACTCAGACATCTGAAAGACCCTCTGGGAGGGACGAAGCCAAGGAGGCAGACGAAGCTTTGAAAGAGATCCGGTCTGGTAGTGATTTACCAGAATGCTGCTCTAGGTGAATGAAATTGCCATGCCTTTTGGTAGAACTCAGAGCGTCCTGTTGGCAAAGACTCCACTGCTCCCTTTCACTGTCCCCTTGGCTGCAGACCCATTCTCAGATGACCCTCTTCTACCTCCGAATCCTGTGAGCCACTGACTTTGATGGGGGCTGCTGGCATGAGCAGGGGTGTGGGGGTACTGACGGAAGCGTGATCAACCGTCCAGTGGTAGGCCACCAAACGAAGCGAGAGGCCACTCACTGGCTCCTCAGGGCAGAGCAGGGTTCTGTGAGCCTCCGCCTCCACCCTCCTTTCTAGGCTATTTGATTCGTGCTTGTTTTTAAATGCCCAGTGACACCCCCCCCCCCCAGAAAACAGAACCAGCCCACTACGGCTTGGCCCTTTCGTCACCTTCCTGCTCTCCTAATCATTTGCCCTCTATACATAGCCTTTGGGGGATATTTCCTCAGTTATTAGCAAAGGAAAAAAAAAAAGGCGGCCTGGACCTCAAGAATGGGGGGGGGGGGGCTTGCTATCCAGGAGAGGTGCAGCTGCTGTGGCCTCAGAGTCCTCTGGAAAGGAGATCTGCCTTGGAAGTGCCAGGGAAGAGAGGAGGCAGCCAGCAATCCCGTCATGCACTTTTTGCAGGTGTTTGATGCCCGAGACTGCACCACAGCCCATGGCATGTTCAACTACATCTGTAACCACGTCAAGTACGCCACCAACAAAGGGAACCTCAGGTGAGTTGCCCTGCCGGATAGGGCGGGGTGGGGTGGGGTCGCCGCAGCATGGAGTACTGGTTCTGGATGTGGCTCAGCTACCGGGGGAGGGGGAGATTGTCCCCTTTCGGGGAAGCAGCCCAACTGGCAGAAATACCCCTGGCGTTCTTATCCCCTGCCCCTCCTCTGCCAAAAAGAACAACAACAGAAATGGAGAGTATCTCTGGACTCTAGTTCCCTGTTACCCACAGAGAGAATGGGAAACTAGCTAGGATTCCTGGAAAGAAGAAGCTCCCATTTCCAAGTAGAGCCAGCTCTCACGGCATCCCACACTGCTACCTCCTGTTCCACGGGCCACTGTGACCTCCAGTTCTGTCCCACCTAGCCCCACGTTGGACTCTTGTACCATTACAAGGAACACCGCCTGCAGGGAGCCAGTTAAGGCAGGGAGGCTCGTTGATCGTGACTTCTGGGCTGGCCTCAGCAGCTGCCTCACAGCTGAGGCTCCGTCCACAGCTGGCTGCCCTTGTCAATCCTGCCGGTGACATCTGTTCCCCCGCACCCCCCGGGCTGCCCTGAGCTTACGCAGAGGGAGGTTTGTCCGCCTCAGGCATGGCTTTCCTTGCTGCCTAAGCTACCAGTAAGAAGAGAAATCCTGTATACGTGAGGAACTGGTAGTGGGAGTCTTTCCTACGTAACTTCATCCTGATACATCAGAGAAGTGTCCAGCAAGTGGAGAGGAAGGGCGGTTGAATGGGTGTTCACTGTGCAAGCATGGGGGTCTGAGTTCAAATCCAGAACCCGTGTTTAAAAAGCCAAGGGTAGTGGCACACGCTTGCCATCCCAGTGCTGGGGAAGTGGAGGCAGGGGCATTCCTGGAGCTTGCTGTCTAGCCAGCCTAGCACAGGAGGTGAGCTTCAGGGTGAGTGAGAAACCTTGTCTCAAAAAGCAGGGTAAGCCTCTGGCTTCCATGCATGTGCAGTGTGTACATGCATGCACACACACACACACACAGAGAGAGAGAGAGAGAGAGAGAGAGAGAGAGAGAGAAGAATATGCCTTCTAGCATATTCTAAACCATGAATGGCTAAGCCCTCAAGTTGCTTAGGAGCTGTTCTGATGGTTTTTCAAAGGACATTATGAGCTGCCAAGAGGAGGGGTCACCCCACACTGCAGCTGTGCTCAGTGATCTAGTCTGTGGAGAGCGGGTATCTTCGTGAGAGCTAAATGAAAAAAAAAAAATAAATAATCACTTAGGATTTTTTCTCAAGTTTTAAACCTCCAGTCTGAAAACCAGATGGCAGACATAGGAGAATGTTCGCTATGAGCATAAAGAGTACATGCTTTATGAGGGAGTGACTCACAGTGCAGGCCCTGAAACTGCCCAAAGGTAACTGAGTCCCCCCCACCCCCCCACCACCCCCCCACCCCCCGGGAAGCAGGTGAGGGGGCGTGGCCAGGCTTCCCAGCTCCCTCCATCTCAGTTCCCACACAGAAAGTGAGTCTCAGACCCCATTTTCAGCCCAACGTGTGGCTCTGGTGTTTGTAAACAGGCTTCCTGAATGTATGTGCACAGAAACAGGTTCTGGCTGGTGGCCGTGTGTCTTCACGCCAGAGGGAAGGTGGCTTGCTCCATTCTTGGTGGTCTCCCATGTGCTGCGGAGAATTTCACTAAGAGCGGCTTTGTCTCCCTGAGCTGCCTTCAGCCCAGGCTCTAACCTCATCCTCTGGTGTCAATGACATCATGCCCTGCGATAGCAAATGCTGCATCCCCTTCTCTGGAGAGTAGGACCTACAGAACGTGCTCAGAAACAGGGTCCAGCAAACTCCATCTGGGATGCCATTTTTGGAAATGGAATCTAGTCCAGCCTTGGATGTGGGCCTGTGACAGCAGAGAGGGATTCCAAGCAAGGGGTGGAACACGACTTTCTCACAGGAGCCCATATGCCCTGCAGTGTGTGGTGGCACATACCTCTCATGCCAGCCCTCAGGAGGCTGAGGCAGGAGGATCACGACTTCAAAACCAGGATGTGTGTTCCCTGCCTTCCACCTTGCATAGACTGAAGATTTTGTCGGAGCTGGTAACTCACCACCTGCCCACAGACGGGCACCTGGACAGCAGATCTCCAGCTCTGCCCCTGGGTCCTCCAAAGAGCAAGTCCCACTTTGGTGACTCATGTCTTCTCCCCTCTCCCAAGGTCGGCCATCACCATATTCCCTCAGAGGACTGACGGCAAGCATGACTTTCGAGTGTGGAACTCACAGCTCATCCGCTATGCTGGCTACAAGCAGCCCGACGGCTCCACCTTGGGGGACCCAGCCAACGTGCAGTTTACAGAGGTGAGCATGGGTGTCCCAAGCCTATTCCTGGCTGGACTCTCAGTTTCTGCCCCCCGCCCATGCTTTTCCAGTTTAACATTTTTGTCCTGGAGGGGCCAGCCAGCAAGGGACAGGACCCCACTCCTCAGCCCTGCTCAACATGTACCATCCTCCACTCCGTCCTTCTGGTTCCATTGAAGACATCTGGCCATTTTTCATGGCATAACCTATCCCAACCCTCCCTATAGAAGCTCCTGTCCCCTTTCCGAGTGGAATAGGCTGAGTCTTGCCAGCACCAAGGAACTTATCCCAAAGTATTAAATGAATGAAGAGATGTTTAGGACCCTAGAGAAGGTCCCTCAGCCTCCCATCAGTAGAAATGTTGTCTGGAGAAACCACCTTTCCTGAGATAACATGATAGCCTCCTTCATGTGTTGACCAGTAGTTTGAGCTCTAGCCAAGTGTGGTGGCGCATGACTTTGGGTACTTGGGAAGCAGATGCAGGGGGATCCCTGTGACTTCAAGGTCAACCTGGTCTACAGAGTGAGTTCCAGGACAGCCAGGGTTACACAGAGAAGCCTTGTCTTAGGGGTGGGGTTAGTTTGAGCTGTCCTTCCTTCCTTCCTAGAGCATGCTTGGTTCTCCCCAGGCATCGGCATGCCACAATGGTGAGGACCAAAGTTGACAAAAGCTGCCAAGAGAACCAGGACTGCCCATCTCCCCTCCCAGGATCTCTCCCATGTGGGTATGCTGACCCTTAGTTCAGGGAAGAGACACTATCAAATGGGCCGTGCCCAGTGGGACATAACAGCAGACATACGCCAATGCCCAGGTCCCCCCTCACTCAACCCACGCACACTCTGCTTTCCCTCCCCTCCCCTGTATGCTGACTTCCTATGCATAAGGCTTTTCTCATTGCTGTGTGATAATCCTGAGAACCCACTGTAACCAGGGCAACCAGGAGCCGCACCTGTGCACTCAGAACCTGGGCCAGGCTCCCCAGACTCCGTTCCGCTTGGCTGAGTGCTAACTGCTAAGCATGTAGTTGGCTGACCTTGCCTCCTGCTTAGCCGAACACTAACCGTGTGCTCAAACCTCTTCTTCCTTATCTGTGTCCAGAACCTTCCCTGACCAGAATGCGTCCTCCTGGTTTCCACTCACATAGTACAAAGAAACATCTCCCAACCCAGCCACGTCCCCATAAGGAGCCGTTCACGTCCCTGATGGCCATGCATGCATAGGGCTGTGAGCAAGCCTGCCACACAGCTGGTGCCAACCAACAGATCTCCAAGATAACCACATTCTAAAAAGGCATAGAAACGGCTCATTAATGATCTTTCTTAATAGTTTATTTAATTGTCTGAGCATTGGCATAAGGATGTCAGGTCCCCTGAAATGGGAGTTACAAACAGTTGTGAGCTGCCACATGGGTGCTGAGAATGAACCCAGGTCCTCTGGAAGAGCAACTGGTGGTACTAACCTGAGGCATCTCTCCAGCTCCCCCCCCCCCTCACTGACAGTCTTACATTGAGTATATTTTGAAATTATAATAGTAGGCTAGAGCAGATTAGCATAGTAACAAGTTAAAAACTAAATACATTAAATATATTCATTTTTACTACTAAATATTACACCTGAACAGATTCACTTCAATATTTTGTCATTCTCTGCATATCATGGTGGTGCAGGCCCCGCACTTGTGGCACTCAGGGGACCAAGGTGCAAGGGTTGTGAGTTTGAGGCCAGCCTGAGCTACATAGTGAGAATCCATCTCAATAACCAGAGTGGGGCTGTGGAGGTGGCTCGGTAGGTCAAAGGCTGGCTGCCAAAGCATGAGAGCCTGAATTCGGAATCCAGCACCCTTGGAAAAGGCTGGATGTGGCAACACACACCTGTAATCCTAGCACAGAGGAGCTAGAGGCCGCAACGTCGTGCTTTTTGGCTGCTAATCTAACCAAATCAGTGAGCTCCAGGTGTTGTCAGAACCTGGTGTGGGGGCACACACCTTCAATCCCCGCACTCAGGAGGCAGAGGCAGACCTGGACCTCTGGGGTTCAAGGAAATCCAATGCCCTCTTCCAGCCTCTGCGGGCACCAGGGGCACACCTGGTACATAGACATGCACCCAACAAAAACACCCACACACAAACTAAAATCATCATAATAAAGTTTGGTTTTAAAAAAAAAAAAAAAAAAGTACCCTGTCTCAAATAAAATAAGGCGGAGATGCAGAGCCTACACATACAAACACACACACAACACAGACATACCGCAGAGGGAGAGAATTCAAAATAAGAACCAAATAATAAAATGTATATAATCAGTAAGTTAATATCGATATTTAGTGCACTTTATATGCTCTATAACCGCAGATTTAATATACTTAGTTGATGAACTCTCATCTTACTTAGTTTTAGTGTCAGATATCTGATTAAAATCTTAATCCATTCTTGATGAATTATTGGTCATGTGAGGTATATTGTTGGGTGTAAATCTCACAGTTTAAAATGAGTGTGTTAAAGAAGGGGGCTGCACTTCCTGGGCCTCCCTTCTTCATGAGGGTTCCAGAATGCCTTAGCTCCCGTGTCTCGCTGTGCCTGTGGACAGCTGCGCCTGTCTTCTCTACAGTGAGCCACAGCACTGGAGACTTTCTTTGCATCTTGCGCCACTTAACAGCATGCATAAAAACTAGCCCGTGGGGGATGCCACAGATAGTCAGACTCAGCCTTCATCCTCTCAGTGTGCCCAGCCGACACAGGAGACCCTTTCTGGAGAGGGCTGACCTGTGTCCCCTAGAGAAGATGCTCTGGTTCTATGGTGAAGTCAGAGAGTGCTTGTAAAGGAGGCTTTTGTTTTTCTGTGTCTCTCATGATCAAGAGACCCCTGAGGGCTTGCACAAAGACCTCCACTTTCCCCTGTCCCTGTGCCCACTGTGTTTGGAGGGGCAGGGCAGAAATGTGACAAGAGGACTCTGCTTATAGATCTGTATACAGCAGGGCTGGAAAGCCCCTAGAGGCCGCTTCGACGTCCTGCCGCTCCTGCTCCAGGCCAACGGCAACGACCCCGAGCTCTTCCAGATCCCCCCAGAGCTGGTGCTGGAAGTACCCATCAGGCACCCCAAGTAAGAGGGACTGCTCTTGGGGGGGGGGTTCCTGATGACCTCCTCTGCCCACCTCATGCCCCACCCCAGGTTCTCTGCGGCCCCAACAGACAGCAAGTGGATTCTTGGCCCATCCTGGCTGTCAGTCTGGGATACCTGGGGTCCTTGTGAACCAGCCTGGACCACATCAGATACATTTCTTTCTAAGCAACTCCATGACCTGCTCTTTGCCCAGCCCTTGGGCTCACAAGAGTATACGTACTATCTTGCTACAGACATCCAACGGAGGAACTACATGCAATGACTGACCCTGCATAAACCAAGTTCAGACAGAATCTGAACCCAGAAGCAGCTAGGAGACCAAAGTCAGGGAAGCAGGTGGCATGTGTACTTAAAGAGTGAGTGACAAGCAAGGCTGGTGAGATGGCTCAGCTAATAAAGGCGCTTGCAGCCAAGCCTGACTTCTTGAGTTTGATCCCAGGGCCTATACAGTGGAAGAATAGAAATGACTCCTATAAACTGTCCCCTGTCACATGTGAATTCATACACAAACACACAAATAAATAAATAAATAAAATTATAAAATGAACGAAGGAAAACCACCATGAGGTGCTAGACTGGGGCCAAAACCAAGGCAGGTTGCTAAGAAACTTAAGTCATATGCAAAACAGATCTTAGAAATCAAGTTAATTATTTTTAATCTATGATGAACTGTATCTCAACTTTTTAAATAAAAACAGGATCCAACCTTACCCAAGGGTGTGATGAGATAGGTGAGTCACACAAGAGCGAGAGCGTCTATTTAAAAGGATTTCTTTTTAATGTTTATTTTTCCAAGTGTGGATTCATTTAAAATACCTCATACATAAATAACAGTGCTGATGTGTTGGCTAAGTCTCTGGGGGGGGCCTGAAATGTTGCACCTAGCACTGGTGGTACCCCACCTGCCCTACCTGAGTCTTCCCTGGACAGAGAACACCCGTCCGAGGCTCCTGATATATTGGAACACAACCAGACGGGTGCCCTTGGCTTCCTTACATTCATTTCTAGACCTGTCCAACCCACTTGAGAGTCCTCACTCCATCAAGCCCTAGCACCAGCTTCAGGGCCCACTATGTCCCTTCCCCTGTGGTTTGTGTCAAAGAGGGGAGGCCACAGGCCAACAATTCCTAAAATTCTCAGTTCCAAGAAAGTACAGCAGTGGAGAAATATGAGGTTCCCTGGGCCCAGCTGAGCATCGGGAAGGTTTCCCAGAGAGAGTAACATTTAGCTGGAACGAAGCACAGATTTAAAAATAAAGCCGCAGGAGAGAAGAGAGATTGGGGAGAAGGACCTCTCAATCATCAGGTGTTGTGCACAGTTCCAGGGGGGGTGCTGGGCCTGGAGCATCCCCAATCTGAGGATGCTTCACCTACACGTCTGGTCGGGGGACACCTGCTGCGTGCTGAGCGGAGCCACGTCGCCTTCTGCAGGTTTGACTGGTTCAAGGATCTGGGACTCAAATGGTATGGCCTCCCCGCCGTGTCCAACATGCTGCTGGAGATTGGGGGCCTGGAATTCAGCGCTTGTCCCTTCAGCGGCTGGTACATGGGCACAGAGATTGGCGTTCGTGACTACTGCGACAACTCTCGGTATAACATCCTGGAGGTGAGCTCCCTCCATGGTCCCCAAATACGGCTTTGGGCGTGGAAGGTTGGACAGAGGTTGGACAGAACTGCAGTCCTGGTGAATCTCCTAGAAATGCCTGTGGGTTTCCTAGCAATGCTTGAAGTGTCAAATAGCGCAACCACCACAGAGGACACTGTGTAAGCAAGCACCTTACACAGGAGTCTTCCCTTGACATCCACAGAGGATCTCCTGGACCCCTTCAGATATGAAAATCTGCAGATGGGCCGAGAGATGACTGAGATGATCAAGTGCTTCCCACCATGAGAACCTGAGTTTAATTGTCAGAGCTCACATTTTCTAAGCCGGGCATGGGTAGTAGGTGCTTACAATCCAGGACCAGGGGAGTGGAAACAGATGGAGCTCTGGGGCTCGCTGGCTGGGTAGCCTAGCCTCCTTTGGAAATGCCAGGCCAGTGTGAGAGCCTGCCTCAGGAGACAAGTTGGATGACCCCTGACGAACAACAATAGCACCTGAGGCTGCTCTCTGGCCAGTGAGCATACATGAACATACATGCACGTGCACACATGGGCACACCCATGCAGACATATGCAGACATGCACACACATACACACATACCTCAGGTGCCAAGTCCCATACACAAAATGATACTGTATTTGCACTGAGCCTCCTGTATCTTTGGACTCTCTGCAGCTGACATATGACTCTAGACACAGTGCTGTACAAATGGCTGTCACGCTATAGTTTAAGGAACAGTGACAGTTGAAATGTCTTCACCTGCTGTGTACAGATGCAATTCTTTTGAATATTTTGGTCCAGGGTGGTCTGATCATGCAGCTGAGGAATGCTGGGTGTGGAGGGCTGGCCTTCAGAAGCTGTGCAGGGTGTGTGTGTGTGTGTGTGTGTGTGTGTGTGTGTGTGTGTGTGTAGAGGGGAGAATTGGGGTTCTTTGTGTGTTGAGTTTGTTTGTTTGTTTCCGATTGTTTCTACAATGCAGGGGTTGAACAGAGGTCCCAGAGCACACTAGGCAAGCTCTGTGCCACTGAGCTATCCCCAGCCCTACTTGCTTTGGGAAAGTTTTTTGTTGTTGTATTTTATTTGTCAGCAAATGTCCCACCAACAATTTGCAACATTCGGCCTTGTTTCCAAAGAGGTTACAGAGAACCTGAGAAGTCAAGGGTAGGCTTGGATCGCACAGTCTATCAGTGGAGAATCGAGGTTAGAACTCAGAGCCAAGCACCGCATTTATGCTGTTAAGACCATGTGTGACACCAGGCGTGGTAGCCCATGCCTGTAATCCTGTGCTTGGGAGGTAGAATTAGGAAACTCAGGAGCTTGTGGCAGTCTTCTGCTACCTGGCAAGTTCCAGGGCAGCCTGGGCTACATGAGACCCTGTTTCAAAAACATAAAAAGTAAAGCAATATTCACTGGTATCTGCGGGACCCTGCCATCAAGGTTTAAGTCCGGCATTTCCGGATGGCCTCTAAGCTTGGTATAAGACAGCAGACTCCCTTTCTCGGCTGGGTTCCCTTCCCACTCCAGATCAGGCAGTCGTCTTATACCGAGCCCAGAGGTGATCCGGAAATGCCAGACTTTGACCTTCCTTAATAGCAGGGTCCCCAGTGTCATGGGTCATCAGTCTTGCTGAAGAGTGGTGGCAGGCGCCAGTCCATAGGACTCTTAAACTATCAGTCAAGGGTGTGGCCTGGGTACCAGAATTTTCAAGCTCCCTAGCAGTCTCCACTAGATAGACACCAGTATACACAAACCTCTGGCAAGAAACACATTAGGCTATTTTCTAGTTCAAACAGCATCCTGATTCAAGCATCTAGAAGTTTGGTTTGGGGGTTGATTTGGTTTTTGGGGTTGTTTGTTTGTTTGTTTTCTTCAAATCAAAAATGGCATTTTTTTTCCCAACAAGTTTTTATTCTTTTAGTCAAAGCAACGCTGCACTGTGCCTGGCTGCGTGTGCCCTTCCCCATTTCAGAAATTCACCAAAGGCGTTAAACAGATTTACATAAACAGGAGCCATTCACTTTCTGAAGAGGCGTCCCTGATTCCGACCCAAGCTACACGTTAAGCCGTCACCTCGGACAGTGATGACACATCTGCCCTCTGCTCTCTGAGTCACCTCATGACTTACATGGGAGAGTCTGCCCGCCCCCCCCCCCAGCCCTTCAATTCCAGCTGATGGACACAGTGTCCACTGGGGCTGAGGAGCAATTTACCCAAATTGAGTGATGGTAGCCTCTGAGACCTGAATTCCACCAGCAGCTAGCCTGGACAAAGGGAGGGAAAGGCATAACTTTAATTAAGGAATTTGCCTCCAGGCCTCTGACACTGTGACCTGGCTGCTCGTTTCTGTTATGTCAAATACTAACGCCAGGATGTATTTCTTTTGAGTTATTTTACTGGAATGCTGTTGGCTTAGAAAGCAGGTAGTTCCTAGGTCTCCGGGTCTCAAGTATTAGGCATTAACACCTTCCCTTCTATTGATTGGCACATGAGTTTAGTGGCTTAAGGGCCAGCCATGTCTCTTTAGTCAACAACTGGGCTGTCAACAGTAAACCCTCAGCCTGTGAGTCAGCCCATGAATGGGTTAACTGACAATTAAGAACTCCCCTCACAACACCGCTGTCTTTGGTCTGAAATCCAGAGTCAGGCAGCCTGTGGGTCGATGTTTTCCAGGAAGTAGCCAAGAAGATGGATCTGGACATGAGGAAGACATCCTCACTGTGGAAGGACCAGGCACTGGTGGAGATCAACATTGCTGTTCTCTACAGCTTCCAGGTACCCTAGGTCTCAGCACCATGCTCAGGCCTCAAAGAAGAGAGGGAAAAGAACCTTCTAGATCAGTGCGGTCCTCAAGCCATTGCTTGAATGACCCTTTCACAGGCTCACCTTCGACCATCAGAAAACAAAGACATTTACGTTATGACTCATAACAGTAGCAAAATTACAGTTATGAAGTAGCAATGAAAATAATATTATGGTTGGGGCGGGGGGTCACCACAATGTGAGGAACTGCAGGAAAGGGTCGCATAGCATTGGGAAGGGGGAGAACCGCTGCTCTAGAGACACTCTGAACAGAGGGTCAAGAGTTCTGCCTAGCAAGATCCACCTTTGGGGGCTGGAAAGATGGCTCAGTCAGTAAGACTTCACAAGCATGGCATCCTACATTCAGTCCTCAGAGAGCCACTGAGAGCCAGATGGAGGGGGAAAATGTTTGTAGTCCCAGCGATGGTGAGGCAGGAAACAGAGATCCCTGGGTTCTCACTGACCATCCAGCCTAGCCAGCCCTGGTGAAGTTCCAGGCCAACCTGGAATTTCCATCTCAGCCAGGCTTCTGAGGAAATGACACTCAAAGCTCCCCTCTGACCTTCACCTTCACCTGCACATAAATATACATGCACCTTAATTCACACTTGAATAAAAAAAAAATCACCTTCAGAGGCCCTACAGATGTCAATGTGACCTACCTGCTGTCCATGTGCTTTCCTGCCATGTGGGCCTTGGCAGTGTAGACATTTGATACAGAGAGGTGGGAGGAAGGCCTGGACTTGATGCTTGAGATTCTGCAGTCTGGTGATGGTGTCTCCATGCTTTGTCGTCCCTCAGAGATTCACTTTTCCATCACAGGGATGACACCCATCTTCACTCTCAGCCACATAGCTCCCGGCCCCAGCCCCATAAGGAGTTATAGTAGGATGGGTGGAAAATATGCTGCTTAGACCACGCTGCTTTAGAGCACAGGTGGGCAGTGTTATTACGCCAAGTGGACAGACGCTAACTGGGATCTGAGCGGCCACTTTTGGGACTTGGCACTAGCCCTGTCCTGGTAAACGGAAGATGAGAATGTTCATCCAGACCTAGGGTGGTCGTGAGTAGAGCAGGCATCTTGACGAACATCACAGTGCAGAGGTCTGTGTGGGCAGCGGGGCAAGAGGCCACCTCCCAGGGAGAGCTATGGAAATGATAAGAGCTCAGGCCCTGAGTGAGGCACTCAAGACATAGGAGAGGTGTGGGAAGGAAAGGAAGGAGTCGGCAGTGTCTCTTAGACAGCTTGTGAGCCCATGCCCACTAGCCCAGCCTGTGCCAGACGCCAGTCCGTCCACCCCAACATTGCCTTTCTCCTTTGAGCTCTAATAGGCTCAGCCTTACTCCTTAAAGCTATGTTGACAGGGTTTTATTTCACCACTATAAAAGGTTACAGAAGGTAAGCATTGCATGAGATAAGTAAACAGAAATAAAAAACAAAACAAAGATCCGAGAATCTAGCTCCCACCTGAGTCTCTATTCCCCTGGTTAAAGAAAGGTGGCAGAGCAAGAAGACAGACAGATGAGATGGATAAGGAAGGTCTTCAAGATACACTAGCCCCAAGTGGAGCCTTTCCCCTGTGCCCTTTAGGCTTGAAGAACTTAGACGCATCCCACTGCCGCCCTCCGGCAGACTATAGGGAAGGTACCCAAACATCCCAGCTCCTCTTCCTTCCTGACGCCTTGTCACCTCTCCTCCTGCAGAGTGACAAGGTGACCATCGTTGACCACCACTCTGCCACTGAGTCCTTCATCAAGCACATGGAAAATGAGTACCGCTGCAGAGGGGGCTGCCCCGCAGACTGGGTGTGGATTGTGCCCCCCATGTCAGGAAGCATCACCCCTGTCTTCCACCAGGAGATGCTCAACTATCGACTCACCCCATCCTTTGAATACCAGGTCCTGCCCCACCCTGCCCCGGGCTCCCTTCTGCCCCGAAACCCACAATGCATGGGCTAAGTTTTCCCAGCCTACGGGGGTGTGGACATGCGTGTGCCCAGTAGCCTGAGAGACCTACAGAAACAAGACATGGGCATTTAGGAAACGGCAGTGCATAGCTGGGAATGGTGGCACACACCTAGAATCCCAGCTCTTGGGAGGGTTGAAACAGAAGGATGACAAGTTTACAGCCAGCCCTGGCTATGTATCCAGATCCTGTCTCTAACAGAGTCTAAAGGAAGCGGGGCTGAGTGGGAAGAGCTGGGGGGACAAAGCAGGGAGGCTGCTCACACCACCTTGCACAGGGACATCTATGCCTATCTCCGGCTCAATCCCCACCTTGTGGGACTGAGGTCTGAGCAGCTGCAGCCCCAGGGAACCCCAGGCATCTCCAGGTGGGATTGAATCTCCTCAGGGCTGTGACTGGTATCATCGCTTCTCTTCCCAGCCTGATCCATGGAACACCCATGTGTGGAAGGGCACCAATGGGACCCCCACAAAGCGGCGAGCCATTGGCTTCAAGAAACTGGCAGAGTGAGTGCCCTGAGCTGGGGGATGAAGGGACCTGTCCACAAGCTGAGAGTGCTTGGCACTAGGCAGGTGCTGTACAGTGTGCCAACTCGGTGATGGGTACTTCCATCCCACCCCCACCATGTTACACACACAATCATATGCATACATACACACACACACACACACACACACACACATGCACACATACACACAATCACACACATATACACATGCACCCGTACACACACATATATACATACATGCACAGACACATATACACATACACATATACACGTACAGCACACACAGACATATATACATATACACAAACATATGTACACACACACACACGGTGTAGGGTTAGGGAAGGCTGGGTTGAGCTATACAGCAAGACCCTATCTTTTACAAAAAATTGATGATGTTTAACTGAGCCAAATAGAAGATCAGGATGCTATGCACCAAGGCCACTCAGATCACTTTTGACCTAGCGTCCAGCTGGCATATACCGTGTGTGCCATCAAGATGATTTAATGAGGTCACCAACTTCAAGTGCCAAGAAAGGAAACCCCACTGATCCACTCAGTGGGAACCTCTGTTTGGTAGAAGACGTTGACTCAAACTAAGCCAGCTTATACTCAGCTCCCAGACACTAGAACTCTCCTATGTGGCATCCAGGAGTACAGAAGGTACCATTTATTCTAGGGACCCGAGAGGCAGGACTGCAGGCCAACTTGCAGTACCCGACCCCATGAACTTGGTCCTAGTAGATCTTCTTATTCTCTCTCCTTCCATTCCTACTTCCCACCCTCCTTCTCTCTTCTCTCCATCTCCCCAACCTCCGGCCAGTAATCTCACAAGCAGCCTCTTTCCTTACTAAAGCACCCCAGTCTCAGGAGAACCTTTGACTACAGCTCCATTCTGCAGGCGCCAGGGGAGAAAGGCAGTTGGAAGAAACACCGACTGTGTTGTTAAGCTCAAGGTGGAGACCCTGTAGGTTAATTATACATGCTCTCTGTGCTCCTGGCCTTCCAGGGGAGCCCTCCAGGTGCCCTTTATCCCTCTTCCTCCCTCCCCTTGAGCTCAAAGCCTTCCTGCAGCGTGAGTGGTTTCCCTAATTCGGTAAAATGATGAACTTAACCACCAATAAACTCCAGGTGGGAGATACACAGTAATTTGTTTTCAAGGCAATTTCTAGTGAGAATGGGAGGAAAGCTCAGGCACAGCCAAGTCTGCATTGGGCAGTCACTCCTGGCCCTCCCTCTCCTTCTGCCCCTCCCCGCCCCCTCCCCCCCTTCAGTACACCCTTCGCTTAAAGTTCTCCAACTTGATGTCAAACTCCTCCCAGGTTGGGCACAGAATCTAAAAATTCAGATTCTTTTGATAGGTGTTTGATATCTATCTGGATGGCACCTACCAGGCGCTAGTGTGTTTGCAAATAAAGGATTCTGGTTCTGCCTTTATGGATGTTAAAAGCCACTAAGCTGGTCTGGTGGAATGGCTCAGGGGGCAAAGGCACTTGTTGCCAAGCCTGAGGACCTGAGCCTGAACTCCAGTATCCATATGGTGGAAGGAGAAGACCAATTTGGGCAGGCTGACCCCTGACCTCCATGCCCAGGCTGAGGCAGAAGCACATGACTACTCATGTACAGATACTAAATAAATAAGTGAAATACATTCTTTTTCCAAAAATCTCTAAAAACCCTCTAGTTCAGGGCCTGGGGATTATTGGTGACAAGCTTCTCAGGACTAGAAAGAATCAACCAAAAACAGCCAAGTTGCCAACCTTGGACCTCAGAACTATTGCACTGGGGAAATGATGAAGTCACCATGGTCTCCGAACAATGGGGTGCCCTGTGTCTCTAAGGGTCCTCAGCTCTCATCCCAGCACCTTGTCGTACCTTCTCTGATCCCCATTTTTCTCTCTGCCTGCTTCCTCACAGAGCCGTCAAGTTCTCAGCCAAGCTGATGGGGCAGGCCATGGCCAAGAGGGTCAAAGCGACCATCCTCTATGCCACGGAGACAGGCAAATCACAAGCCTATGCCAAGACCCTGTGCGAGATCTTTAAGCATGCCTTTGATGCCAAGGTGAGCTCCCTGGACCCTCGTGGTAAATAATGCACTTTTTTTTTTTTTTTTTTTTTTTTTGCATACGAGTCCAGTCCACATGAAATCCCTATCTCTAGAGCAAAATGTTAGCAGATTGATGAGAATCCATCTTGCTGGAGATCCACATAAACCCCCTCAGCAGCTACAGCTCTGTGGACTACATCAGTGCTGGGCTTCTCAGAGCCTTTGCTCTACGAACGCCCATTATAATTTGGGAAATGATGAGCTACACATACTTCCTAAGCACATCTGACTATGGATTCCTTGTTCTTAGGGAGCACCTGGGAAGACTGGGGTTCCTTAGAACGTACTTGGAGAAATACGCAAGTAATGCTAAGATGTAGGTGACAGTCTCTCCCTATGGTAGGTACTTCAGCCTCAAGGGGCTCAGGCCCTTTGGGGCACTGAAGGCAGGATTAGAGCAAAGGTTGACAAAACCTGGTCAGGTGTTGCCAGGTCACGTACAGCTAACTCTAGCCAGGACTCCAAGATCATGAAAATTCCAGGGACATGGGTTGGGCACATGGCTCAGCCACTCAAGCATCTGTCACCCTAGCATGAGGAGTAGCGTTTGGATGGCCCAGCTTCCAGATGTAAAAGCCAGGTGTGTGGTGGCCTCGCATCGGGGAGGCAAGGAGGAGGCTTCCCCAGAACAAGCTGGCTAGACTAGACAAAGCAGTGATCTCTCGGCTCAACTGAGAAACGCTATCTCAGAAAACAGAAGTCAGGGGCAATGGAGGATTGACAACCAGTGTCAGCCTCTGACCTTCACATGCGCACATACATACACATGTGCATATACACATGTGCAAGTAAAGAAAACAAAGTTCAGGGGGTCTCCATAGCAACCACTCCATTGGACCAAGACCCAGGATGCCCATAGTCCTCCAGGACATAGTGGCCACAGCAAGATGTCATGTCAGCAAAAGGCATTATCCACATGAGCCCACTGAATAGCCAGCATCCAGGACTTTGGTCTCCGAGCAAGGAGGCAACTCAGAATTCCTCACCTCCTTCCTCCTCACATCCTCTTTCCCCTGTCACTTTTTATCTTGTCATCACTCACCTCTTCTCTCTGCCACCACTCATCTCCTCTCCCCTCTCTCGTGTCCCCGCCCGCCTAGGCCATGTCCATGGAGGAGTACGACATTGTCCACCTGGAGCATGAAGCCCTGGTCTTGGTGGTCACCAGCACCTTTGGCAACGGAGACCCCCCTGAGAATGGGGAGGTGAGAGGGGGTGCCCCTGTCCTGGCATGGGTTTCCGTCCCTCAGAGGAGATAGCCACAGCTGGAACCCTTCCCCATACCTGCCACTGAGAAGTGAGCCCTCCCTGAGCCCCAAAGCCAGGACTCTGATTTGACCCAACCTGAGCAAATGGGACAATACCCTTAGATATTTGTTTCCTAGGATAAACAGTCCCCACTGTGAGCCGTGTGTTTAAGGAACTCCAATTCTGATCTCAGGGTAGGACTTCCATGTTATGCACTGGGATGGAGGGTTCACACCTGTGCTTTAAACAGCCACGCCACCCCCACACTTGCGCTGAACCTGTCACTGGAGTGTTGCTGTCACCCCAACCCCTGGCATCTCTCCATCAGGCTTTAGGCTCTTCTTTTACCAGATGAGGCCCCAGACCCTATACCTACCCACTAATACATTCTTCATTCTGCTCATTTGTTTTGACTTCTAGAAATTCGGCTGTGCTTTGATGGAGATGAGGCACCCCAACTCTATGCAGGAGGAGAGGAAGTAAGTGAATGCCCCTCTGGTGTCACTTGATGACCTTGGGAACCACTGAACAGTATGTCTTCCCACGCAGAGTTCATGTGAGGGCGGGGCGTGGTTGTCAGCCTTTGGAGATGGATTTTAGCTGCTGGTCTGGACTTCACCATGGTTGATATTCTGGTGTTCTGGTGTCTGACTCAATGACACCTCTGCTCTGTGCCTCTGAGTCCTTATCAAGCAGAAATTATAATGTCTACTTTAACCTTTTGACTGGTTAGAACCAAATCGGAAAAAAAGGTGGGAGAGTCTTAGGAGAGATGAGGCCCACCATGCAAATCTTGGTTCTTATCATCATCCCTCTGCCTTTGAAACCCACATCGGAAGTCAGCAGGAGCCACTCTCTCCGTGTGATGCTCACAGTGGTTATGTAGCCAATGTCAAGATCAAGTTCACAGGGTAAGCAAGATCCTTCGTAAGGCCGACACCTGTGTTTCACACACATTCTTCAAAGAGTCATCTCTCACACGGTGCTCAGTTATGGAGGCATTTTAAGGGGCTGGCAAGAGGGCTTAGTAGAGTAGGGGTTGCCTGCCAACCAATCTTGATAACTGAGTTTGACAGGATCCACATGGTGGAAGGATAAAACTGACTCCCCTCAAAGCATTTTACAAGGCGGAAACATCTGTGGTCCAAACCATCTTTGGAAACCTCCAGAACCTTCTGTGAGATTCTGGGCACAGGGCACACACACGCTGAGCCAACCCTTGAGGAAGCCAACACAGGGTTGCCTCCAAAGAGCAGATCCTGTGACTTAAGACCCATAGCTGGCTGGGGTTTCGGGATTTATGGAGAACAATCTCTCTGGGTTTCCTCCTGAGAACACAGGACCAAACCCAGGTTCTGGGTATCCAGGGATCAGACCAGCACCTTCTAGGCAGCCTAGCTCCTCACCAGCTCCAGCATCTCAGCTTGCATCCTCTCCATCCCTCTCCTCTCCTTTCACAGCACATCCCCCACTCCCGCCTCCTTCAGGGAGAGATAGGGCACCATCCATTCTCCCCTCTAGGTACCCGGAACCCTTGCGTTTCTTTCCCCGTAAAGGGCCTACCCTCCCCCATGCTGACTCTAAAACGCACAGTCTGGTTGCTGCCCGTGACAGCCAGCACAGGTAGAGAGCATCCGTGTGTGTGTGTGTGTGTGCATGTGTGTGCACTAGTGTGTGTGTGTGTGTGTGTATGGCATGCATGGTGTTCATTAAATGATGCATGGCCAGTGTTGGAACATCCCTGGCCACATTTGAGCCTCAGAGAGACCTGACTTCTAACCCGCCACTAACACAATGACCTTAAGCAAACGTCTTGACCTCTGTGGACTTGGTCTTCCTCACTGAGCGACTGGGAAGGATTCTCTGCCCTGCGGGTCTCTGGAGGCTGTTGCTGAGGATGGAGGGAACTATTAACAACAGGGAAAGCGATGGCAGAAACCTCCAGCCTCATACAGTACACGTGCTGATATTTTTACCCCACAACCATCCATCGTGCCTCCCCCGCTAACGACACAGCCACCCCCCTGGTATGCTGCATGACGGATTTGGAGAAGTGACTCAATGTGAGTCTATTCTGGGGGCAGAAAATACACATCCGTGTATTTAGAACCTTGTTAGAACAAAAACTTTGAAAAGCATCCAGCCCAGAGACGCTCCGCCAGAATGTGCCTGTTCTTTTTTGGTTTTCTTCTTTCTCTCTCTCTCTCTCTCTCTCTCGCTTCTTCTTTCTCTCTCTCTCTCTCTCTCTCTTTCTCATTTTGCATCCTAATGTGTTTCTTGGAATTCTGTGTTAGTTTGGGGGGATTTGGAAATGGAAGGGTTGTCTGTTTCTGTTTATTGGATATTGGGAATTTTGTTTTAATTTGTGTATTTTTTTAAGATTTATTTTAAATTGTATGTGTATACATGTTGCAGTGCCCACAGAAGCCACAAGGGGGCGTTGGGTCCTTGAAGCTGAAGTCATAGGTAGTTAATAAGCCTCCATGTGGGTGCTGGGAACAGAACTCAGAGCCTCAGCCGGAACAGTAACAGGCAGTCCTTGTTTGTGTTTTGTGTAAAAATGAAGTCTTGATGGAAACTGATGTCTGTTCTCAGTCTTGGGTCCCTGAGCCTCTTCTGCTGAGGCCTAGGTCTTGGACATCCTCCCAGGCTGTGGAGTCTATGTGAAGACACTCAGCCTGTAAGTGCTTGTCTTACAATTGTGGGACCCTGAGCTCCATCCTCAGAACCCACGTTTTAAAAAGTCACAGCCAAGCATGGTGAGGCCACAGAGGAAGGGGATATCTGTGAGTTCAAGGCCAGTCATGGCTTCAGATTGAGACCCTGGCCTCCAGAAACACAAAGGGGGTGGGGTGGGGAGAAGAAAATGAAAAAAGAGAAAAAGACAGCCAGAAAAGCCGGTCCAGTAATCTCCACACCAGAGAGGCAGGGCCAGACAGGTTCTGGGGACTCTCTGGCTAGGCAGCCTAGCCTATTTGGTGAGTTCTAGGCCAGTGAGAGACTTTCTCAAGGCACAAGATAAACAGCACCCAAGGGGGACTACCAAGGACCTCTGTTCTCCACACACAAGTGCACATACACCCACACGACTGTGCACACACGAATACCCACATGCTTATATTCACACACACGTACCCACATACACACGTATACAGAGACACACACGCACATGCACTTTCCCCCACCCTCAGATCAGTGCCGAAAACGGTTTCCACTTTTACTGGAAATGTGGCTCATGACCCTATAAAATGCCTAAGAATGTCACTCTGTGGCAGCAGAGTGTTGGCAGGGACAGGCCAGCGAGGTGGAACTTTTTACCATCTGTCTGTGCTGGCTGTAAAGAAGCCGCCAGCGACATATGGCCGCTGAGCACCTGTGAGGAAATACGGCTAGTGCAGGCAAGGAACCGTGTTGTAAACCTTTTCACATAAATACGCATTACAGGTTAGACCTGTTTCCCCCCACAGCCCCTTCCTCATCCCCTCCTGGCCTCCAGGCCGCCACAATTCTCTTTTTACACCATTTACACATCTATGATTTTATGTATCATTACAGAAGTTAGGAGCTACAAATGAGAGGAACTAGGGAACATTTGTCTTTCTAGGGCTGGCTTATATATCATCACCCCCCTCCTCCACCTTTCTGCACCTGACTTCATTCCTCTTTACAGCCGAAAGTCTCCTCTAAGTTCCTACTATGTGCATTCCCCATTTTACCGAGTCCTCTCTTTTTAGTGACCTAGTTTGTTATAGTTAATATTAGTTTATTATATATGTTTATATTATTAAATTAGTTTATGTTTAAGTTAATTTTAGTTCATCATAATTATCATTGGATTTATATGGTCACAGGGAGCAAATAGCTACCATATTGGAGAGCACCACTAGTTTCCAGATACTTGGTGAGGTCTAGGGACAGAAATGCTGGTCCTCCCTGCATCCCTACTGAACCAACACCCTCACTTTAACAGAGTCGCCCCTTATTCTGCATGTCAAAACTTGAGAGGCCAGGAGGCCTGCTCTCACAGTCATGGCATCCCTCCACCTCTCTCTCTCCTCACTCTGTGTCTCAGTCTTCCCAAGTCAAGCAAGGCCTGGAAACAGTTGAGTTTGGAAGGGTGGTGTCTTAGTTACAGCTTTCTTGTTGTGAAGAGGCACCATGACCAAGGCAACTCTTGTAAACATTTTATAAGACTTATAAACATCTTATAAACTCTTCTACAACTTATAACTCTCATAAACATCTTATAAACTCTTAGAAAACATTTCACTGAGACTGGCTTACAGTTTCAGAGCTTTAGTCTATTGTCATCATGGGAGGAGACATGGTGGCTTGCAGGCAGACATGGTGCTAGGCAAGGAGCTGAGAGTTCTACATCTACAGAAGGAGACTGTGTGCCATACTGGGTATAACTTGAGCATATGAGACCTCAAAAAACTGCTCACCACATCGACACACTTCCTCCAACAAGGCCGTGCCTCCTAATAGTGCCACTCCCTAGGGACCATTAAAAGGCATGGGCTATGGGAGCCATCCCTATTCAAACCACCACAGGTGGCTATCATTGTGGTGAATTGTGGGCGATAAATTCTCAGAGTCCAAAGCTGTGGCATAATAAATATAATAATCAATACTGAAGAGAAGGTTTTAGAACCAGGACCAATAACTTGAAGATCCAGGGGCTGGAGAGACAGCTCAGAGGTTCAGAACACTAGCTGTTCTTCCAGAGGTCCTGAGTTCAATTTCCAGCAACCACATGGTGGCTCATAACTATCTATAGTGAAATCTGGTGCCCTCTTCTGGTGCACAGGCATACATGCAGGCAGAATACTACATACATACATGCATACATACATCTTTTTTTTTTTTTTAATTGAAGATCCAGAGCGGAGGCTGGCCTTGGGAGGGGGCATCAAGGCAGAACTCACAGCCATCTATTCCTTTGTCGCAGGAGCTACAAGGTCCGATTCAACAGTGTCTCCTCCTATTCTGACTCCCGCAAGTCATCAGGCGACGGACCCGACCTCAGAGACAACTTTGAAAGTACTGGACCCCTGGCCAATGTGAGGTGAGCAAGGGTGCAGGGGGCTGAGGATGGTGAAGGCTCTTAGAGAGGAGCCCAGCTGCAAGATGGCTCTTTGTTCCAGAGGAGAATTCTTCCCCCCCACACACACACACAGTGTCCCTTCATTCCTCTGGGGCCCCTCTCTCTCTAACACACACCACCTAGTCTCCCCACATTTGTACCTAACAATCACCGTCGTCTCTTCCTCTAACTCCCTCCCACAGCCCATCACCACGGTACACCCACTGTCTGTGCCGTGTCTCTGGATGTCTGACATCGGCTATTCCAAGCAGACACATTTTACACAGAGTGAATGCCTCTGGAGACACCCTGCCATGAGGACCCAGTGTTTCTCAACCCTGAGTCCACGTTGGAATCACCTGAGGGTGATCCATGCATGGTTGTACACACATATAGTGCCAGCGCTTGAGAAGCTGAGAGGCAGAAGGATGGCAAGTTCAAGGCCAGCCTTGGCTATGTTAAGAGACTCAGTCTCAAACACAACAAAAATCACCTGGAGATGTTTGTGATCTACTGGTGTGGTGCCTCAGCCGGGCCTGAAGAACTGTGTCTACGTTCTTACCCTCTTCTATATTGTGTGTGTATGTGTATGTAATGTGTAAGCACGCGCATGCGCATAGTATGCAGGCACACACGGCACTGCACACACAGAGGTCAGAGGCAGCCCCACGTGTTGGACCACCACCCTTCCCACCTCATTTGAAGCAGGGTCTCTTCTCACATCTGCATACTCCAAGCTGCCTGGCCCCTGGATCTTCCTGTCTCTGCTGCCCATCTGGCTACAGGAACACTGGGATTATGGGTAAACGCTACCAGACTTAGGGGGTTTCTAGGAATCAGAACTCCAGTCTTTACAAACACTTTGCCCGCTGACTGAGCTGCCTCTCCAACCCAACCAACACTGAACCTTTAAAGTGGCTGTTGACTGGCATCAGAATGGAACAGAAAGTAGGAAAATGCCCTATCCCTCCCCACATCCCCTATGCAAAGCCTCCCCCAACATCAGCTTCCCACACCAATGGACATGGCCGCATCTGTATCAGCCAAAGCCTGTGGTTTGCTTCAGGTCTCACTCCTAATGTGGGACAGCTCTTAGGCTTTGATATCGGAACATCGGTGAGCATTACCTTCAGATCCCAGTTAGGCAAAATTCTATCCTCACCCCCCCCAAAAAAAAAAACCCCACAACTCCTTCTTCCCACTGGTGGACTTGTGAATTGTACTCAAGAGCATGGAGAGGGGCTCAGTCTGTACAGTCCTTGCCACAGAAGCATGAGAGCCTGACTTCCGTCCCTAAGGCCTGTGAGAAAACCCAGCATGGTTGCACCCACTGATGTGCACAGCTGTGCCCTCAGCCACCGAGAAGAGACAGGAGGAACCTCATGTCACTCCTGTCCCCTGAGACACAACACCTCAAGTTAACATCTCTCTTCCGTATGCGTGTGCCCACATACCCGTACGCTCACCAAAAATAATTGTCCTTAATTATCATGGCGATATTTAACTTTATCAATTAAAAATGTGCAGCCATTTGGGTTGTGTGTGTGTGTGTGTGTGTGTGTGTGTGTGTGTGTGTGTAAAGAACCAGAGGGCACCTTCAACTCTGAAATCTTAAATATCTCTGCTATCTGGCCCTGCCGATGAGAACTTAGTCAACTGCCGGCTTCAAGGTTTAAAATAGGAACTTGGGGCTCAAAAGTAGCGATTGTCATGGAAACATGAGTCTCCCAGTGACTGTGGTGTGGGCCCCTCAGTCCATCCAAAAGTGTTGCCGTGAGTCAGCCACCTGATCCGTAGCTGGTGAGTGTGAGGGTCACATGCCTGAGTCTGTGGGCAACGCTGTTGTAAAAGGCTGACAGATGTTTATTGCTCACAGTTCTGGGGACTGGAGACTCCAAGGTCAGCGTCCCAGGAAAGCTTACTCCCAATCCATACATAGCTCTTTGTAGGCCTGTCCTCCTCTGGTTCTTTCAACCCTTTACCTGGGCATTAATTTCCTTCATAAGGGCCCCACCCTGATGACCTAATCACCTCCCAGAAGCCCCCTCCCCTTCATTCCATCCTGGTGTGGGTCTGAGGAGGACATAGTGACCTGTGATGACTTTTGCTCCACCAGTGAGACCCCTAGTTTGTGTTGTAATGACGAAGAGACTCCCCCACACACACATCCCTCCTTCCTCTTCTTCCTTTCTCCTTCCTTCTTCCTTCTCCCTGCTTCCTCCTCCTTCTGTCCTTCCTCCTTTCCATCTCTGTCTGTCATCCTCTCATCACCTTCAGCTCCAAGCTGTTCAGGGAGAGTGGATGACAGGGCTCCACTCCCTGGCTTACCTGGAGTGACTGTCTTTAGCAGAGTACCTTCCTTAAAGGCACAAGGAGGGGTTCTTGTCCCATTTATGAATCTGTCACTATAGTCCTGTTGGCTCAGAACTCCAGCCAGGATCACTCTCCAGAAATGGGCTGTATAATATCTAAAAAACTGTAAACCAAATGGATGTGGTACTATACACCTGAAATCCCAGTTCTCGGGAGATGTGAGCAGGAGAATCAGAGTTCAAGGCCAGCCTGGGAAACATGAAACCCTGACTCAAACAAACAAAACCCTGAAAATATGGTCTATCCCCCCGCCAACACTTCAGTCCCCACCTCAGCATGGAAAAAAAAAAAAAAGAAAAACACAACTCATATTACCTTGACCCTTACTTGTAGATGGTATTAACTACTTTGTAGGTTCTTATTTCTTCCATCCTTTCTCCACCCTTTATTCTTCTTTCAACTTTTCAACCTGATGACACTAGATAGGAGGGAAGGATAAAGAAGAAAGGGGGTGACATCATTGTTATGTTACTTTCTGTTGATTAGGGGTGTCAAGCTGCTTCGGGCAAGTTTGAACTTTGCCATCAGGATATCTCCTCCTCCTCCTCCTCCTCCTCCTCCTCCTCCTCCTCCTCCTCCTCTTCTTTTCTTTGTCCTCCTCCTCCTTCCTGTTTTTTTTTCATTTCTCTGAGTAGCCTTGACTGTCCTGGACTAGCTTTGTAGACCAGGCTGGCCTTCAACTCACAGAGATCCTCCTGCCTCTGCCTCTCTGAGTGCTGGGATTACAGGTATGTGCCACCATACCTGCTCTCTCCTTTTTTCTTCTGTGTGCATGACTATTTAACAAACTGCAACCAACAACCAACAGCAACCCACCACAACTCTCAGGACCCTAGGATTCATATTATTCTAAAAAGTCCCCCAAAGTCCAAATGTCACACAGTCACAGACACTGTCTGCAACTGGCAAAACCACTCTTCGGTTACAGTGTGAGACAATCACAGCCAGCTGCTGCAAAGCAGCCCCATGTCCCCACATGGGAGATTAAAACAAAATCATATTATTAAGGTATTTCTGAGTTTTTAAAGAAACTGAAATTCCAAAACTCTCACTACATTTTCCCCTTTCTGTTTTAAGCCATTGATTGTTCTGGGTATAGCAGGAAATTATAAACAGAGACATTTTCAACAACGAACTAAGCACTTTTGGGGTCAGTGGCCCAGGTTTTCGGGAGACCTCTCCTGTTCAGTTCTAATCTTTATCAGTTTTGATGGTATCCACAGCTTTTCGGTTCCTGTGGAAATATAAACAAATCTGCAACTCCAACACCAAACTTTTATGGGATTCCATTTTGATGTTAACACATCTTTATAATATATAGACTGATTTAATTCCACAGCTTTTTCTATAACCTAATGACTCTCACATGCTCTTGTCTGAAACAGTTTATACTTTTTGCTGCAGGGCTCAAGCTAGGCCCCCATTTCATTTCCCAACAGCAAGAAATTACCTTGGATATCTCTTTGTCCTACGCTCATTGGTCCATTGGCAACCCTTGCCACATCACCTGCATAACTCTGGAAGCCTAGGTCTTCTTTCTGGTTTATATTTAGAAAACACATTTCCCTTAGAGATGCCTTGTTCACGATTTTGTTCCAAATGACCAAACTTCCAACAATTAAAGCACAAAGCATTTTGAGATCTGAGACCTTTAGTGGCTTGGTCACCATCTCTTTGCAAATGGCTGCATTTCCTGCAATTGAAGCACTGGACAATTTGATATCAGACACCTATTAGCATGGTACATGTTAAAAACAGTATCGATCATATCCCTTATCCATTTGTCCACAGGCACTTCCCAAGCCTTTAATCATTTAAACTGTCTAATTTTTACATTTGATATGCACATTTTCTTACACCAACGTCTCTATCAAAACCTGTCTTGAGTCAGGGTCTGATGCTGCTTTGTTCACAGCTTCTAGAGCCTTGAATAATCTTTGTAAAGGAAGTGGACCTTTCCCCAGGCTCCTCAACTTTGTCCCAAGCACTTAAAGCCATTAAATGACATTGCTCTATAGTCACTTCATCAAGTTTAATCTGTTCTTGTATATCAGAGTACTGTCCTTCACCCAGCAACTGGTCTTTTACTGTATTCATTCCCCTTGCTCTATTTCGCTGTTCAATATTCACTGTTTCTTCCCTCCACCAGGTTAACCACTGTAATTGCAGACCAGTGTCTAATACAGCTGTTCCCATTCCTTTCCATCTTGGGGGAATAATTCTATTTTGAGTAGCCCAGTTGTTTAGAATTTGTTTCACATAAGGCAAGTGCATCCCATATGAAATAATGGCCTCTTTAAAAATGTCTTGGATCCATCATTTCTATATGACACCATCCCATCTCAATATAGCCTTGCTCCCCACTATTAGCAGGCATATACTGTACTACTACTGGAAGATCTGTGGGGGTGGTAAACTCGTAGCCCCCAGTCGCCCCTCTTCCCACTCTTATTCAAGATAACCTTTTCTCTAGAAATGTGCTGTTTCATCAGACTGTGCTCCCGCCTTTTAAACCTTTCTCTGATCTGACCACCCTCCAGCACAGTTTCTTTCCCTCTTTCCTCCCACTCTCTTGCTCAGCCACTAAGTCTGAGCCTTTTTGTTCTCCC